CGAGTCCTCTGTAGCAAGGGGAACTTGGTGCTGCAACTCAACTGAACCATTTGAAAAATGAGGAGGCGAGGATGTTGGCAATGTTGAGCCTGATGAGAAAGCAATTGGTTGAGGAGTTGCAGGTGAAGTCCGAAATGGCACAGCAGCAGGCCGGACTGGCGATTTAAAAACAGGAGGACCAGGGGGGGTGCTTAGATGAGGAACTGGGCTCCTAACCCCATTGGCTGGTGATAACAAATTTGGGTTCTGAAAAAAAGGGGAAGGGATCTGATCTTGTTGCAATTTAGGAGGAGGAAATCGAGGAGCTCCAGGTATCATTGTAGGAGGAGGAGCAGAATTTTTCTCTGGTTGAGGGGTTGATGAGTCAGGGTTTGAGGAAGTAACAGTAACAGAATATCCAAGGGAAGGTGGTGGTGGATTAGTCATTGCAATTCAAAGTTTCTTTATCGAATAATCAAGAATAACCTAGAAGCCAAAATCAAACTCTATAGAAAGCTACAGACAGTTGTATCCCAGGGCAAATTATGACAAGAGAATTCAAAGTGACAACTTCACTGTCAATTGATTATTGATTGAAATGCAATTAAGAATCATAAACAAAACAGCCTACAAAGGTCTGATACACCAGCAGCTCAAGAATTGCGATCCAATCTCAATGTTGATGCGGAAGAAGATACCGAATGGGAGGACCTTGACAAACCAAAATCCCCCAGTAAAATCTAAAACCCCAGAGCAAGAAAGGGTTTTGATGAAAACCTAGTTCAAGAAATTTCCAGTTCAATCAAGAACCCAACTAAAGAACCAAAATTATCAGCTTCAAAGATCAAATTGAATGCAAGAAAACCTGATCTCTCTGCACAATTGGGCACCAAAATCTTCCTCTCGCACAGACATCTGAAAGAAAAAGAGACCAGTTGAATTCAACTTTGTGTCAAGGAAAAGGATCTAGTTTTCTTCAGCAAAACAAAACCAATATTGAATGAAATTCAGACGAGCCGAGGACAGTAGAATCGACGTACCTGAGAAGGACAGAAGGAAAATTGAAAGATTTGCGGAGTAAATATTCAGTCCCTGTTTTTAAATCTCAATTAAAAATGGAAATATTTTCGAAGTGATTTTATAATCTTTTAGGATTCTGGGTCTTTCGTCCTCGCAAGCTAGGGAGCTCTCTCTCTCGCCTCCTGTTGTGTTCAATTTTCCTTTTACACGAGAGAGAGAAGACAGCAAAGTTACAGATTGGTCCTCATAAAGTCAACAGGCCATTTTTTAATTGTCTTTCTGTAACAGGATGAATGAATCGTGTATGAACATCTCCGATGTCGTTCCAAACCTTCGTTAACTTAATTCAATTTCCTCCGAATTACGGGCCACGTTGCTTTGCGCCTACAAAGCCCTACTTTCTGTGAATCAAATAAAAAGAAAACACTAAATTACAAATTACGTTTACGAAATATTCTAATAAAACTTTATCATTGAATAAGTTAAATGTATATGCTTATTAAAAATAAAATTTTATTTATTTATTTTTTGTATTATTATCATCATTATCTTTATCTTATTTTTTAAAAGATTTAAGAAAAGAGATGCTAAGTTGAATATTTTAGAAATTATTCCATAAGATTTCATCAAAACTTGTTAATTTAAATTAATTTTAAAAAAATCAAATCCATTATGAAAAAACTAGGTAAATCATTGTAATAATTCACAAGACTCTTTTTTTTTTTCCTCATCCTCAAACCTTCTTATTTTAATTGCAGTTTTTAATACGTAATTTTTATGATTAATTTGTTAAAATTTTCTTAGAAGAGACAAAATTTAACAAAAGAGAACCAAGGTATAAAAATAAAAAAAACTCATCCACACTATGAAATTACAAGGAAAATCTTTTTTTCATCTTCCCACTTTGCTTTCCTTCCTTTATAATCCCTATAGTCTTTGTAATTTTCATTTTTACTCAAAAGTTTATTTTTTTATTTTTTTTATTTTTTATTATGAAAAAAAAGATTTACCTCAAAATAACAATGAAAAAAAAATGTTATTAGTGAGACCACTATTATTGGTATCGATAATTTTCATTTAAAGAAAGAGGTTCAATAATGATGATTTTTACCTATAAATATGCTTAAAAAACATATCAAGATTCATTTTAATTTTTGTGTTTAGTTGATTTGTTTTGTGGTTTTATAGTGTATAGAGATTAATAGGTTGTTTATGGAAGTTTTTATGATGTTTTAAGGTTTTTCATGTAAAAATAACTTTAAAAATTATATTTTTAAATGAACAAACCCCTTTCCTTAATCTTCAACCATCATATTGATGGTTGAATTTTATGTTTGCTATTGTTAAATTGTATCCAATACAAAAAAAAAATCTAAATATAATTTTATTATAATTAATTATAATTAAATATTTTTAAAAAGGGTTATTTAAAAAAAAAACTATCTACATTGGCCTTGATAAGTTAACACAACCTAGTTAATAAAAAAATGATCAGATGATTAGTACTTAAAAGTGTATTTTTATTGAGGTTTTATATTATCATTTTGCACCTGAAGTACCAATAACTCCTTAACTAAAGCATGTTTTATAATAATATATATAATAAATATAAAATACTTTTGATTTATGGTAAATATTATCTTGAATGCAAGCATATCACATAAATAAAAGAATTAATTGATGAGTTTAACTACTGAAATTAAGAAGACAAAGAAAGAGCTGAGCTTATAAAAAAAATGTTGGTTTAGTCCAAATTGGAACATTGTTCAATCATTGAGTCATATCTAGAGCTGTAGAACTTGGATTTAGGCATATTTTATATGGATGAAAAACTAAGACATTGGCCTAAAATATTTATAATTATTCAAAACTCAATTTTACTATTTGAAAGTCCAAATCTTATCATCAAAAGAGAAATCTAAATCTGTCATACAGCTCAAATGATGTTCAGTGTTCAGCTTACATCTCAAGTTCTAGAAATCCAAATGACCTCATTTGTTTTTTAATAAAAATCTAAGATAATTTCTCAAAACTTTCATGAATAAAGTCTGTTTAAATTTTGATGTTAGCAATAACATTTTATTCAAACAAGAAGATAAATATTGTCATCAAGTCAAGATGTGGCCACTCATTCAGCAATTAGTCAATAAATCAATAGTTTCAAATTTTGGGAGATATTTTCAATATATTTAGACATTTTAATTTTTAAATCAATATCATGTTCTTGCTCTATCTATATTTATGTAATGTTTAAGTTTTGCTTTCATTAATATCTTGTTTATGCTTTTCATTTTATTTCCTCTACTTAGTTAATTTATGTTTTATTTATGTTCTTATCTTATTTATTTATGTTTCTCTTTTTTATTATGTTTAGTTAATTTTATTATGCAAGGTAAAAAACTTACATTAATTGTGCAAGAATAAATATAATATAAACTCAATATAGACTCTAATGCTTGTATTCTAAACAACTTGCTATTAACATGTCTTATCATTTTTATCTTATTAATTCTTAATACCTTGCTTGTTAAGTGGTTAATCTAGATTTGCGTTGTATAATACTTAGTACAACAAATACTTGATATTTTCATCGCCTAACCGTATCATATAACTTACACTTGTACTATGAAAAGAAATTAATTTGTTATCAACACAAGTTAATAACATGAACTATTGACAATATTTAAATGTTGGGTATTATTTAAATAAGATAATTAATATAATTATGTTAACAATTTATAATGAGTTATTAATGACAAATCATCTAATTGGAATCTTCTTTGTATATGGTTTCAAGTTGGGTAATAAAAAGAGTTTATACTATACTTATTTGAAAAACCATCAGTTGATCCTCTAATATTAACATTTATTTTTATTATTATTTAATCTTCATATTAATTTTACATCTTAAATTCCTCTTTAACTTTTACTTATTGTTGTTGTTATTGTTGTTATTTATAATTTATATAGTTAACTTTTTTCTGATTCAACTCCAGATTTGCTAAATTATTTATTACTTTAATACTCCTATATTTGGAAGAAGATATCAATCTTTTGATCGTGCCACTAGACATACGCAATCAAGTAAATCATAAGCACTCACCTGGCTTCCTCTTCCTTTTTTTTTTTTCTATCATCCCCCCTCATTTTATTAAAGAAACAAACAAAGCAGAGAACTCGTCATTTATAATGATAAAGTACATATCACATGCTTATATAAATTCCGGTTATTTTTAGTGTCTTAAAAGACTAATCCTAACTAAACTAACATATAAAATTTATTTTCAACATTATTTTAACCTTAAAACTCCTAAAAGCATTATTACATACCTCCACAGTCAACTTACAGTCTTAAATAAACTTTTACTATATCAAAAAATAAAAAATAAGTTCAATAATTTTATTTTCCAAGCTTTGATTTTTTTTACAAGATAAAAAAACAAAAAAAAAAACAATTAAATAAAACTTTCCTCACCATGTAAAACTCATTAATGTCAAGATTATTTTTCTTGAAAAATAAAAAATAATAATTTTGAAGGCTATAATCCATAAAAAACACATCATAAATCATGTTAAAAAATCATTGTATTTTTTTTTTATCAATCTTCACTATTTCATTTTTTCTTTGCAAAAAATAAAAATAATATTTATTTTTAAAAATAAATTACTAAAAAAATATCAAGATACGTTTTTAAAATTACAATAATCCCATTAAAAATAAATTATCAAATTAAAACTTTAACAAATACCACGTATAAGGAAAAAGATAAAAAAGGAAAAAGAAGACGAAGCTTATTGAAATCCATAGCGATTTCACTGACAATGGACAGCGAAGTTACCACATAAATTAGTTTGTGTCTTAATTAATTAATGAGTCGCACGTGCTATCATCGCCATCATGATGGTCCCTTAATCACGTGATCGCATCTCTTCGATAAACACCACTTCAACCCTCCTGAGATCAGCATGAAGCATCCACCAGTCCACAAGATGCCGAAACAAACATTCTAAATAATTATATCCAGAACAGAGGGTAAAACAGTATCGTAAAAAAAGAGAGAAAGAAACGCCGTCGTCCTCCCCCTTATCCCTGAAATGTAATCTAACCTAACATAACCCTCGAGAAACAGTACCTCACTGCACCGAGCTCTAAAATAAAATAAAATAAAATCCCTAGATTTTCTTCTATTTCTTTCGGTTACCATGCCTTCCTTCTCTCAAAATCCCTAATAAAAAAATAAAAATAAATGGAAGGAGCCAAAGATCCTAGAAACGGCGGCGATTCGTCGCCAAAGCAGGTCTCCAAAAAACCTCGCACCAGTGGCCACATAACAGACCTGGAAATCCACGAAGAATTCTCTCACCATAATCTTAACGTAGCCAGAATTAACAACGGTAGCTTCGGTAGCTGCCCCGGATCTGTACTCGCTGCTCAGAAAAACTGGCAGCTTCAGTTCCTTCAACAACCCGACGACTTCTACTTCAATACTCTCCGAAAAGGAATTCTCCACTCACGTACTGTCATAAAAAACCTCATCAACGCTGATGATGTCGATGAAATCTCCCTCGTCGATAACGCCACCACTGCGGCCGCCATCGTCCTTCAACAAATTGGCCGTGCCTTCGCTGAAGGTAAGTTTGCTAAAAACGATACCGTTTTAATGCTTCACTGTGCTTACCAAGCGGTTAAGAAATCCATTCAAGCTTACGTTACGCGTGCCGGGGGTTCTGTTATTGAGGTTCAGTTACCGTTTCCAGTTAATTCGAATGAGGAGATAATTGCGGAGTTTAAGAGAGGATTAGGAAAAGGCAAAGCTAACGGTAGAAAGATTAGGTTAGCGATAATTGATCATATAACGGCGATGCCGTGTGTTGTTATTCCGGTTAAGGAGTTGGTTAAAATTTGTAGAGAAGAAGGCGTGGAGCAGGTTTTTGTTGATGCAGCTCATGCTATTGGCAGTGTTGATATAAATGTTAAAGAAATCGGGGCTGATTTTTACGTTAGTAATTTGCACAAGTGGTTTTTTTGTCCGCCATCAGTTGCATTTCTGTATTGCAAGAAAGCGAGTTTGGAATTTGATGTGCATCATCCGGTTGTTTCACATGAGTACGGAAATGGATTGCCGATTGAGAGTGCCTGGGTTGGGACTAGGGATTATAGCTCGCAATTAGTGGTGCCGGCGGCTTTGGATTTTGTTAATCGGTTTGAGGATGGAATTCATGGGATAATGAAGAGGAACCATGAGGAGGTTGTTAAGATGGGGAAAATGTTGGCGGAATCATGGAGGACAAATCTTGGTACTCCGCCGGAGATGTGTGCAGGAATGATCATGGTTGGTTTGCCTTCAAGATTGCGTGTTTCAAGTGAAGATGATGCTTCGAGGTTAAGGTCGCATTTGCGTGAGTGTCATGGGGTTGAGGTTCCAATACATTATCAGGGTTTAAGAGATGGTGAGGAGGGGGTGAAAGATAAGGATGGTGTTATAACAGCATATGCAAGGATTTCTCATCAGATTTATAACAAGTTTGAGGATTATTGCAAGTTTAGGGATGCTGTAAATCATCTTGCTGAGAATCGACAGATTCGCAGAACTATCTCTCCAGAGTGAGAAGGTATGTCTTCTTCACAATAATGAAGTATGCTGTTTGTACTCATAACGTGTAATTTCTGTATATTTGCTGTTCGTGACCATTCTTTATGTTACATTTTAGCACAAGGGACATTTGTACCTGGTAAATTAATAATAGCTGTATTGCCTCCTCATAGTTTCTTTAAAACAATGTCTTGAAATAAAAATTGAATATAGTATTGATAATTTTGTTTCAGGAAAAAAGAAAAAAAAATCTTGTTGCAGTTCAGTGTATTATCCTGGACCAGTTCTGTTTTGTCTATTCTACTGATTTGCTTTCTTATGCATAATAAGCCTTGTATGTGGTCATTTATTTGTTCTCGTGACCTAAGAACACCTTGAAACTTGTTTTGCTTCTAGCACTTGTCCATTTGAATGCTGTGATTTGCTATGGAATTTAGAATCTCATGAAATGACTTCTAACAGTTGTTTGATTTATTTACTCGATATCTCTGCTGGAGCAGAAGATGAACCCGAAACCACAAAATTCCTCCAAGATTTTTTTTTTCTCGGTTCAAGTTTCAGAATGCATGAGCTTGGCATTATGTTGAGTTTAGTTTCTTGCCCTTGCTGATGGATGAATTTGAAACAGCACTTGACGTGTTTTTAAGGAAAATCAATATAAAAACCATTAGAGTAATATATATAGATATATATAAACGATAGAGTGGTTGGGCAGTGAGAACCAAGTCCATGAAAATATAGAAGCTAACTTAGAAAGGAATGACTCAGTAATTAAATGACATGTTTCTATTTGTGTCTGTGGCTGAAGAATAGCTTGGGAAAAGGTCTAGTAGATATAATAAGTGAATGGTGATCACACGGATCTTGCTGTGAATGGTCTATCAGACGATGGGATGCATCTGCAGAGAGAGAGTAAGCCATTGGGTATAAGGTGTATCTGGAGAGTGATATCTCAAGTATTATTTAAAACTGTGATGTTTTAGGAAAGGGTTGTCTCATGCTGTGCGCGCATTCAGACCAGGAGGTTTCCACTCTTGCTCTAAATTTTAGGGCTACTTGTATTTTATATTTTGAATTTCTTATTCTTTCTCAACTTCTCTTATTTATTTCTTCTTAACACCCCTTTTTGGTGCTTCCCCAGTATACTTCCTGTGTAGATGGATTACCTTCTGTTTGTTTTTAGCCTCCCTGCGTCCTTCTTGGACTAGGAATGCTTGTTGATCCTAGTTCTGAATTTATGTGTGGATTAATTTAGATTTGGATATTTGATTTCTTGACCCTTTCCACGCGGTTTGTTTTCAGATATTGGGAGGAATGTCTTGAGTTAAAGACCTTTCTTATACACTAACATATTTATCTTGATGCGAAACTCAGAAGTGTCTTTCTTTAATTCGTCTGTATTCTTTTTTGGCAGTTGGTGGTGAACATTGGAGCCGCCTTGATCAAATAAAATTTGGAAGACACCACGTAGAAGATTAGTGTGTCTGCTTATTGAAGCCACAGGAGTTACCTAGTATTTCTCGACTGAGCTGCCACTTTATGGCTCCTTTTATCTACAACTGTAGATATGGCAATAATTTTATGAGTGTCAGCAATTCACTCAGCAAGTTTTCTGCCTTCAGCTGAATTTAGCTCTACTTTCCCGTTTTCCTGCAAACTCTGTCGTGACATCCTGTGTTGCTTCATGTATAATTGCAGGTGTGTGGTTAATGTTGTTAAAACCACGCAAGCCTCGTTAAAGCAGCATTCTTCTTCTTCTTTTTGTTTTTTTGCACCCATTTGTGTTGGACTGAAGATATGCACTTCCAATATGAATAACATAGGTTGCACGGACCATGTCAACCTCCACTACTAAATCTTTTGAAAAAGGTGTTTGATTGCATCCTAGAATCCAGATATGACCTTCTAGTATTGGTTTGTGGACGCAAATTTCAAGATTTTGCCTGCCGGATGCACCCGCAGATTGCCATCCCACTGAAAAATGGCCAGAAACCAAGTAACTGGCACGGCATAACCACAATCCCAGTCCTGAAACTCATTGCTGTTGTATTTAGCAGAAGATAAACTTGCAGACAATCGAATGCCTTGACATTAGGACCATTCCAGTACTTTCCCATGCACTTGCACCCAACAGCAGAACCCCCGAATTCTGACCGTCCTTTCACATTCTTCCAGCAGAGCAGATGCTCCCGATTCTCTACACTTGCGCGCCGCCCATGCATATCTCAACCTCTCTGCCAGATGCTCCGACGCTAGTGCCATCACTCTTATTACCACTACGAAAAACTCAATTGCTACTCTCATTGTAATGTCCAAATTACAGGAAGCTTCCCTGAGATTTCGAGGACTTGAATCATTAGCCCTAATACTATCTCCGTGCGCTGGTCTTCTTGAGTAGCTGCTTCTTTCATTAGGTACGCTGATTCAATCTCTATAAACTGGTTCAAATCATTCCTTCTCAATTGTTTCATGGACAAGACCTCTTCAAAATCACCGTCACTTGACTCAGCTGATGGTGAATGAGAGGAGGTGCACGACGACGTTTCTACAATCTCAGATTTTGAAATTCTGCAAGCAAGATCTCCGGTGCTTCCTGCATTCAATAAGCATCACATTAGCATTCAATATCCAGACTCAACAGATAGGAGTAGTAAGGAAAACGGTAGTTCCATTTTTATAGCACGTGTTTATAAAAGCACTACAACATATATATATATATCGTCACAAGAAAAAATCTGACAAAAAAATTATTGAACCAATAATAATGAGCAAAAAAACCAAGACACGAATGGTTTGCTGAAATCATTACGCTGATAAGAACACAAAGAAAAGAAGACTTCTCCAGCGTACTTAACGATATCATCATCTCCTCAACTTCACCAATCACACTAGAGCTACCCTCTTCACCAAAGACCGTATGGGAGAAAATGGGCAAGTCCCTGCACAATCTTTTCATCTACTCGAGCTTCTTTTTCTCTGTTTTTATCTCTTTTTTCTTCTCTTTCTTTCCGCCACACCTGGCTGAAGATGCATGTAGTATTTTAAATGCCCATAGCTAGAAAATCCACCGCTCAAAATTAATACCATTGTGACCTTTTACTCTAGATGAAACCCTAGGATTCCTAGTGCCCAGATCACAGGGAGGCAACTTCAAACGGTGAGAAATCAAAATCTAACAATTTCTTTAAAATTCTTAATCCATTCAAGTCGTGTTTCACTGAATAATTCAGAACTTGAAGATCATGAACGTGTGGTTCGACTCTAGTACCACCCGGCGAGACATATTGGGCCTCGCGGGCCCAAGAAGTCAAAGAAAACAGTAGACGTGTCCTTAGAATTGTAATGAAGGCGCATCCATAATTATGGTGCTCAGTCACACGATATAGAACCTTCTCTCTCCTAGCCTAGGTCCTGCTCTCTAGCGCTGATGAGACAATGTTTTTTCATCAAGTTCTGGAGAGGGAAAAACAAACATAGAATTGGAATCTGTTAGGATTTGACCGTTAATTGAAAATTCAAAAAAGATGGAAGAGGAATTACGGCTTCCAGTAAGGTTGATGAATTTCGTATCCGAGGAACAGGTAATTGTTTTGCCTGATTAATAATTACCTACCTCTTAAAACCCTAATTTTATTTCTTTCGTTCTTTCGTTCTTGACAAATTGGACGACTGTAAATGACAGTTGGATGAAGCAAAGAAATCAAGGGGTGAGCGAGTTGAGGATGGTACTGCCCAGAGAGACAGGCCCCTCTTCGAGGTCTCTTTCTTCTTTCCTTTCCCTTTTACTTTATGCTAATTACTGTAATGATTTAAAACCATACTGCAGTATCATATCATTTTTATATATTTTTTAAATGTAGATTTTAAAGGAGAATAAGGACAAGAAGGATGCTGAATTTAATGAACGACTCAAGCATAGTGAGTTCCTCCGGGTTTTCTTCTAGATGAATTGCTATTTCGTGTCTTGGGGTTTTTGTTCTCGAACCCATTTGTAATAAGGAAGAATGTAGGAGCTTTGATGACTTGGTTTTGTTTCAGGACCACCGAAAGCTTTGGATGAAGATGAGACTGAGTTTCTTGATAATTTAGAAATGGTGAGGCTATGCTTTAAGACCCATTGAGCTCTTTTGAAAATTTCTGTTACATAGAAAGAGTTTGGATCACAAGTTAATATTTGGTTTGACTGTCGAGACATTATGATCATAGTATTTATTTGTTAACTAATTTTTCAGAGTTATTATTGATGCCTTTTCCCTTTTCTCCTTTTAATATGTTTGGTGTGCAAGCAGTCAAAGAAGGAATATGAGCAGCAGATAGCAGATGAGGAAGCCCGACAGCTTCGGAGTTTCCAAGTAATTTGTTGACTAATTTTATGCGCTACTTGAGGTGCTACATGTGCTTTGCCTTGAGTTCATGCTGAGGATTCTGAATTTGATGATCGGCATTGTCATGGTGTTGTAATATTATATATTAAAAACTCGTTGTGATTGAACTTCGTTTTCATTTCATTACAAAAAATTAGCCTATTGAACAATGTTTTCTTCATGGGAAATTAGAATGCATTCTTGGAGATTCATCTCCTCTTTTGTGATCTTTAAGTGTCTGAGCTATTGGGAATCGGGAAAAAGTGATTATATGCTATGTTTTTATTACCATATGCATACATTGGAGCAGTCCCACGTTGCTTCACTTCCAATTGCCAAAACAAAAAAGAAACGTTTGTGAGGGGCTTACAAATTCTTGTAGCAGCAGACCAATGTAGCCTTGTAATTTTGCATGAACTTATTCAGAACTCCTTTTCCCTTTCTGAATGGCATGCTCAGAACTTCTGATCTTTGTTATTCAGTATATCCTTCATCCCAGTTGTTATTGTTTTGCTTTCAGGCAGCAGTTGCAGCTCAGTCATTCAGTGTGGATGATTTGAAGGAAACACCACTTGTTCCTCCAGTCCCGGTTAGTTTTCTTTTTCTATCAAACTATTTGGAATGTTTCACATGACAACATATATGTGCATGCACAAGTGTCTGACCTACAAATTGCCAGAACTGCTGCATTGATGATTGACTTTGTAGAATTGTAGCATGAACATTTATTGCTTTCAAGAGTTTTTGATGCTTGAATTTTTTTATGCAAAATGATTCTGATATCTAATATTTAGACATCACCAGTTCTACCAAGGAATAATAAACATCATGAGCCTTAAAAATGAATTGTATAAAAAATTGAATTTAAATTATGAAGTGGTATTGTCACGATGCACCATAACTTGATCACTCTACTCGTTCCAATATGATAAAAAGATAGGTTCTAATAATTATGGAGCATGTTTATAGTCAGTCTGGTTGAAAATTCTGGTTCAAGCCAGAATCGCCTCACAGCTGTTATTGTTGCTCATAAATGCAACTTATTCTGCGTGCAGGAGCAAAAATCAGCTGGGAGGAAGAATCCACCTGCTCGCCCATTAAGTATGATTATCAAAGTCAAACCTCAGGCGAAGAAAGCAAAGATGGACCAGGGAAATGTCGAAGAACATTTAGAGATAGGGAAAACACCTGGTGTTAATATGGAAAAATCTTCAGACACAGTGAAAGTACCTAGCAGTGATGTTGCTAAAACTGGCCTTGTTGCATACAGTGATGAAAGTGAAGATGATGATTAGTAGTTTTTGCTAAAGGTACCTGGATATTTATTATCACTTGATGGAATTTCGTTTACTGCGTTCCATTTTCTTTCATACATGCATAGGGGAAGCAGATGGCAAGGGTTGTGTGTGTGGGTGTGGTATGGGACGTTGTTTCTTGCTTAAAAACACGGAAACTCTTCAGTGAAGAAAATGATCTAAACATACTGGACATGCTACGCTACTGTCAGCCCAAAAGGACTGCAGTGGGCTTGAATAGTAAATGTTTTCTGTCGAGCTTGGACTTCGTGAATATGCGCTCTAGTCCTAGAAAATATTGTGAAAATAATCAAGGAAATGACCCATTTTAACTTGATCCCCCTCTCAATGTCTCTTTCAATGTGAAAATTCAGGATTTGAATTGATATTATTTCATTGATTCCTCAATTTATCTTAAAAATTTTATTTCAATTATAATTTAGTTATTTACCATTTACGAGAATCTCCAATAAACATCGAATGGGTGAATAATTAAAACATCCAACCTATAATTGGAGAATTCATAGGATGGGGTACATGCTAATGTAACCCTTGATAAATTTATTTAAATTGGCTTTGTATCAATAAAATCTTATCATTCATACATAATAAATTGGTATAACATATTCATATAATAGCATATGATCCATATGAATAATAAGAATTGACATTTTTATTGAGTTGAGAGCTTATAGGAAAGAAAATAGATTTATGGATGATATTTGTAACAATTATTTTTAAGAAAAATAAGATAATCTTGAAAATATTTAGGGAGAAATTGTCATGTAATAAGAACTGTATCCTCATTATTGTCTCATCATTATAATTTGTGAAGACTGAGGAGAGATGAAAAAAAAAACAAATAAAGATCCTATATTTATATTGAAGCTGTGATAATGACATTATCAATATTATCAAAAAAAATTTAATGAAACAAATTCAATGATACAAAAAACAGTAATCAATAATGATCAAAGTGGATCACAAAAGTTATCTAAAGGTGATGAATGACTCATTTGTGTTTAGATGACTCATATAACATACTTTGATCATTGTTGATGATATTTATTTGTGTTTTTAGATCCATTTCATTGAGTTTTTTTGAGGATACTAATAATATTGCCATCAAAGTTTTGGAGTGTTTAGTTTCTTTATTTTTTTTTTCTTATTATAATTTGTGCCAATCCATT